GAAAACTCTGTTATCTTTTCTTCTTGCAGTCATGCCTTGTATGTTTCTATTTTCCATGCTTTGTACTGATATACAATAGACTACATTTTAACTTTAATTAATTTTACACTCTGTCTCTTCCTTCTACCTTTACATACTGGTCATGATATTTGACTACTACAATTGATTTGGTTGTGGGTCTACTAATAATTTTTTTTTTCTTAAAAAAAAAATAATAATCACAATTTGATTTAAACAAAACAAAGAAACTTCTTCGAGGCAAGTCACTTCGTTTCTTTATCTTTTGCTTTAACAGAAGTTGAATTATTCTAGAGATTTGCAGTCTCTTTTTCTGGGGCCACTCACAATTCTGTTTGCTTTATAGAAGATCAAGACACAGGGCCCATTATAATCTGATTATTACTTTGTCCACTAAGGTATCCAATTTCTCATGATTTCAGATGACATGCCACGATTCAGAAGCATCTTCACGAACTAAATTAATATTTCTTTTTCTCATTGAAAATGAACGGGATACTTTTGAAATATCTTTCTTGATTTTTTCGTAGTTTTCCTAATTTAATTCCTACAACCTGTATACTTCAGCAGAAAATTGGCTTACTTTAGTTAGAAATTACTTTTGTTTCCAGGAGAGAATTATTTGCTTTCTCTTCTAGAGAAATTAACGTTGGCATTGAACTTTTTGTTTTCACAAGTCAGCACATAATTTGTCCCTGAAGGATCCCCTTGGCTAATTAGATTCCTAATTTGAACGTGACACGTTGATCTCTGTAACATTTTTTAAAAGAAATCTTTATCAAAGTGCTTAGAGGAATAAAAATGTATTGATAGATTTGGTTTGCTTTCTATGATGGCTTCATTAGGAGTTGGGGTATACTGTCATTGACAATAGCCTACTGTTGGCAACTCTACACCTTGTGGATTTTGGTTCAGTTACATGAAGCTGTTCCTGGAAAGAGGTACAACAGATATGTGGAGCTTGCACAAGCAGCCTTCGGTGAGAATCCATACTTATACAATAAAGTTATACAAAATGGAGCATGGTTTTGATTTGGTTTATTTATTATCATTTTTATTTGTTATGACCTGGTAATATAAATTTTTAAACCATTTCTATGTCCATTTTGCTCATATGGTCAGATAGTAGTTGACATTTGCAAGGGGCTGTAAACAAATTAGAAGAAAAATAACATGGACTGATCCTAGAATCTGGTCATTTTCTGCAATTGTGTTTTTTTTTTTTTTTTTTTAATCTCAAATTTTCGATAAGGGTTGAGACATAGAATCCTAAATGAACTGCTAAGGAACTTACCAGGAATTCAAGGGAGAGTTCTTTCCAAGACATTCAATCTTGCTGTCATATGTGCTGTAGTAGAGTGAATTGATGGAATATGCTATTTCTTTTGCAGGGGAAAGACTTGGTGTCTGGCTTGCTCTCTTCCCAACTGTTTATTTATCAGCAGGAACTGCAACAGCGTTAATTCTGATAGGAGGAGAGACATTGAAACTATTCTTTCAGATAGTTTGTGGACCTCTCTGCACCTCAAATCCTCTAACGACGGTTGAGTGGTATCTGGTGTTCACGTCTTTATGCATTGTTCTATCTCAGCTCCCAAACCTCAACTCAATTGCAGGGCTTTCACTAGTAGGGGCTATAACAGCCATCACCTACTCCACCATGGTGTGGGTGCTCTCTGTTAGCCAACAAAGGCCACCTTCAATCTCTTATGAGCCCATTTCATTGCCATCCTCTGCAGCTTCTCTCTTTTCTGTCTTGAATGCACTTGGAATTATAGCTTTTGCATTTAGAGGCCACAATTTAGCAATGGAAATACAGGTATATTTGCACTTAATTATTTCTGAAGCACCTAGCAAAATCAGTTACACTTGAAGGTGTTATATTCATCATCTGAAGGATTTCATTTGACATTTTCCAGGCAACAATGCCATCAACTTTTAAGCACCCAGCTCATGTGCCTATGTGGAGAGGAGCCAAAGTTGCCTATGTATTCATTGCTATGTGCCTGTTCCCTGTAGCCATTGGAGGCTTTTGGGCTTATGGAAATCTTGTAAGTTTTCTAAATTCTTTATTCCCTATGAACATGATTGTTGAAATATCAAATAGAAGGCAGAGTTATAGAATTTCCAATTATAATATAAGATGCCCTTAAGTTGTCAAATAGGAGGGCATATATAATTCTTATTTATGATACTTTTAATTTATTAATTTAACTGGCTTTGTTTAAATTACCTGAAGACCTTCTCCATTGTAGATATTTACTGGAAAGTAACTTTGCTTAAAATCTTCAAAAACAAGAAATTTACAGCATCACTTTTACTTGACTTATTCTCTTTTCTTTTTTTCCTTGTTTTAGATGCCTTCCGGAGGGATGCTCAGTGCCTTGTTTGCATTTCACAGTCAAGATATTTCAAGAGGACTTCTTGCCATGACCTTTCTTCTAGTTGTATTCAATTGTTTAAGTAGTTTTCAGATATACTCAATGCCGGTTTTCGACAGTTTTGAAGCTAGCTACACCAGCCGTACCAATCGCCCTTGCTCAATTTGGGTTAGGTCAGGTTTTCGGGTCTTCTATGGATTTGTCAACTTCTTCATAGGTGTGGCACTCCCTTTCCTTTCCAGTCTCGCAGGTCTATTAGGGGGACTTACTCTGCCAGTCACATTTGCTTACCCTTGCTTCATGTGGGTTCTCATTAAAAGACCTGCAAAGTACAGCTTTAATTGGTACTTCAATTGGATCCTGGGTTGGTTAGGTATCGCATTTAGCTTGGCGTTCTCCATAGGGGGTATTTGGAGTATAGTGAACAATGGACTTAAGTTAAAGTTCTTCAAGCCCAGTTAAGAACAAGATGAAAGCAGCTAAAAGGACCCCGAAAACTCTAAAAAAATTTGGTGGGATTGTCCTACTTGTTTTTGATATTTTCAGAGAATTCAAAATTTAATGTATGCAATATATATGATGCATAGCAGCACAGTTTCATGTAAGTTGTTTTATATTCTTCATTAATGGGCAACTTTTCTTCTCCTAATGTTATCTTGATCACTTGACTGTCTAATTTGCGTATTGCAAAGTACTTTGGTGGCGGTTGTGAAATATGTCCAATTCACTCGTTAACAGCATAACTCGAATTAATTGAGCTTCATTTTGTCAGTTGGATGACTCCATATCTTTTGTTCCAATATGGCATCATTTTGTTTTACTCTTTATTAGCACTACTACAATTATAGTAACTTGAATCCTAATCTATGGTCCAATTGCCGAATGTGGTTACAAACAACTTTAGATCATTGCTTCTTTCCACCATATACAATCTATGCTGACATTGCATCAATGTTAAAGATTATCATTTGACCAAAAAAAAAAAAAAAAAAAAAAAAAGAAGTAGAAATTTTATACTGGAATGAACCAACCCGTCAAAGTTTGGTGGTGATATTGTTTTACACTTTGCATGCGGACTTTGAAAGGATTCATTATCATTGCTCTGTAAAGAAGGAACACCTAATAATATGGGACACGAATCATGATTCCCACTTCTTTTTTCATACTTGGAACTGATAGTGAATGGCACTGATCGATGCAGTGATGCTATTGCTATACACTCAAAATTACAGCTAATGACCAGAACCTTGAAGGAGATCTCTATATCTCAAACTTTGATGTTTGTAGTAAAAGTTATAATGTGTATTATCCTGACCACAGTTTTCAGCTGGATGCTTCTGGGAATATTCATAAAGTCCATAAAATTTCCAGGCTAGTGAATGGACAATGTAGCGGAAGAGAGATGAGTCGGTTTGGACTGGTAGGCCCAGTATTTACCATCCCAACAAATATGACGAATCCAGATCCAGCAACCAAGGAGAGAGATTATAGTTATATAACATATTTATATTAAAAAAAATGATCAAATGTTGAAGATATATAATGGAAGTAATGTTTGAGTTCATATGATATGATATGATGCAACTATTCTGAAAACAGTGAAGGCATTATGGTTGTATGCACACATTAAATGCATCTGAGGATGATACAAGCCTGATGCAGCAACTTTGAACTTATCAGTATACTGTTATATATAAATGATTCGAGGCATAATTAAAACAACCACCCACCGAATAGATATTATTCCACATTCGTTTTTGGTTTAAAACATCATGGTCCATTTCTTTTGAAATTGCAGGTGCACTCCTCCACTCAAACCAAGTGTTTCAGTTTGCGCGCATGCAAATTAATAGATATAATTTTTAAAACATGAACTCGATTAATAATCATCACACCACCAAACTCGATCATCATACAATGAATGAGTAGACACGCATCAGTTTCAATTCTTCCACCAAAAAGTAAAATCAATTTATAGAAACAGGAACCCACCTGCCTGTTTGAAGTGACTCTAGTGGTCGTTACCATCCGGTCAGTTTTATATGAACAAAAGTCCCAAGGTTGGTAGCATGTCATAGCTATTCCTAGAATAATTAGGATTGCACAATCAATGTAGCAGCCTTCTAATTTTGCGCTATTCAACGTTTACCCACCGCCCGCCCACCTTTTCCTGAATGTTTCTGGCCTTCTGGGCTCTTGTTTTACTTTTATCCACGCATAACACAGAGACTTATTTTAGTTGAATTAATGATATAGTTGAGTGAAAGCAAACAGAAAAGAGTCTTGTTATTAAAATACCATGTCCATACTTGATGAGAACCAACCAAGAAAGTAACCGATTACATGAATTTGGGTCGCTGTGTGCAGGTTGAAAATATTTATATACTCGGTAAACGAGTCTGCGCTGCATAACATTCTTAGAAATGGAAACTGCAAATTCTACTTCCACAGGATAAAAAAAGAAAAGTCACTAATATCAAGAGATTTCTCTACTCAGTTTGCAAACTACAAATCCATTTAGAACTTGTTAAAAACTGTCTTTTACTCTGATTTTCTTCCACCGATTCGATGTGAAGATTTACAGAGCCGTGCATGAAAATAAAATAAAAACAGAACCCTAATAAAGCCACAAGGACACTACTGCCCTGTCAAAAAGGAAACTTCAATCCAACTGAACTGAGTCTCTGAGTCACATTTGATTTCTATTATATTATATAACCTACGTATGGTCTATTATACCCACAAGACAACCATAAAAGACCTGGATCCTAAAACCATAACCAAACTCAAAACCCAACCCAAACGCAAAGAAGATTAAAAAGACAAACCCTCCTTTCATTGAAATGATAAAGTTCTAAAGGAGCTTTACTTCAAGCCCTGTCCTGGTGTAGATATAGCACGACCAGACCAACCAAAGTAATCTTCACCAACCACCACACCGTTACCACCTTCTTCATCACTCATAATCGGCCACGTGTTGCACCCAGAAGAAGCAGCACCCATTGCAACACCACCAACACTAGAACCACTTCCATTAACACCAGCATAAGCAGAAGCAGCTTCAGGAATTTCCCAAACACGTGCACCACAAAAGCCGAGCCCCAGTTCTTCAAAACTTGACCCGATGTTATACCCATTAAAACCGCCCAGGTTCATCAAATTTTGGCCTTGCATGTTGCTCAACATCGCAGTAAAGTTGCCACTCTCAGGCACATTCTCATTCAGGTTTAGGTTTACGTCAGTTGTTGAAACTGAAGCAATTTCAGGATTAGCAGAAGGCAAACCAGAAACAGGGTTAGCGGAGATGGGCAGGGGTTCATGGGTTACAGTGGATGAAGAAGAGTTTGCTGCAGAAGTAGCAGAAGATGAACAAGAGCGTGTGCGTTTGGAGTTCTTGCGGGTTCCACCACCAACGGGAACGTTACGGAGGGTCCCACCATGAGTCCAGAAGCGGCGGCACGCCTTGCAGAAGTGGCGTGGCTGAGAGAGGTTGTAGTTGTTGTAGTAGCAAAACTTGGTGCTTGTTGAGTCGCACCTTGGACAGGGCAGTGATTCTGCAATCTTAGGTGGTGGGTGTGTGCTCATGGCGTTCTGGATTCGTCCCAGTTTCTGGTCACTAACATCTGAAGGCATTTTGTGGTTACGGGGATAGAAAGTTGTGAGAGGAAGCAAGAGAAGGTGCAGAAGAGTCAAAGGAAAAAGATGGGAGAGTGATGTATTTAGAAGTAGTGGGAACTGGGAAGGTGTTTCTTTATAAAAAAAAAAAAATATATATATATATATATATATAATAAATTTTATGAGTGAAAGACAATAACCGAGTATGTAAATATGTGAAAGGATAAGTTAAGTTAGTTCTGAGACTAATACTAAACAGCGGTCGCCGTGGCGGATTATTTGTAAGACGTTTTCAATTGCCTCGGCTTGGCTTGCAGCTTGTGAGCGTTTATAAATAACAGTCTATGTCTGTACGTGACTTTGTGGTTGGCTTGGCTACACAGTACTACAGCATCACACAGTCTAATACTTTTTTTTTTTAATATCATTTCCCAGGTTGCCTCTTTTTAGCGTTTTGCAAGACAGAAGGCAAACTGTTTCAGAGGGAAACAGGCTTAGACTTGATGATAGGTCACTTGATTTAAGAGACGAGCTATTAAATAAAAGACAAGACTATTCGTTGTGATTAACGTATTCCCCTCGTTACATGAAGAAGAGTAGTCAAATTTCAGCCCCTCTCCGAATATTTTAGCCGGCTTAACCGTCAATGTTGAGAGAGATTGGGTCCATGTTTATATTAAGATTAAGAAATGAAGTTTGGATCGAAGAGGACCGACAACATCATTGATGTCGAGCAGCGTGGGAAGCAATTATTGGGTTGCCTGCTATGTGACGAGGCTTGAGTGGGCTGTGCCTCCCTATTCCCCTTCTCTTTGCACACCAAAGATTCTCTCTCGTACCTCTCACCAACTGAATTGTCTGTATCCTGATTTATTGGCCACTGTGATTTTTTCTCTGTTTTATCTGTCTACTATTTTATACCACAAGACCTTTCCATGACATGATTTTTTATTATTACGTTTCTTGGAAGTATTGGTCACAGTTCCTTGCAGAACCTTGTAGATTAATACAGGGAGGGAGCTGGGTTAACCCGGAGACTTGCTCCGTTTTAAAATCTGACCTAAATTCAGACTTTGCTGTTGCACTAGTAGACTGGACACACTGAGCATGAAGCCGCTGCAGACCCAGAGAGGAGCGGCTCATTTATTCAAAAATTTGACCATTGGTGTTACACGTGTTTCTCAACAAGCTCTCTTTCCTGGAAAGTGGAAACAGCCTAGCAGGCAAGCCGCTCTCCAGCCTCCATCAGCTGTCAGCTTAAGAAAGTCACTGTATTTGTCCGAAATCATCTCTCCTCTATCTCTTCCTTCTTATTTTTTGTTTTTTTTATTTTTTTTTTGACGGTTTCTCTGAGACTCTGACTCTGACTAGAATAACATCGAGGCCCGAGGGACTTTCCTTTAAATTTCTACTCATCTTCATTGCGCCCAGCACAGCAGCAAACAGGATTACACATGGTAACGTAAACTGTGTTGTAATTTCAATGACAGAGACAACACAAGGCTTGTACAATTGCTTTCAATTTCCAGAATAGTGTACGGCAGGATAAATTTTTTTCTGATAACAACAAAAATAAATTTGGGAGTAAGTAACCAATTATAGCCAGGCGACGAAGATGAGTTGGTGACTGTCTTTATCTCTTTAATTAACTCATTTTTTTTAAATTTTATTCATTCCAAAGATGGATTAACTTCGCAGACAAGTATCAACATTGCTCAACTCTAAATTACTGAATACTTCCATACAACACGTCAATCACAATCAATGAAATTGGCCATCCATGCCGGTGGGACGGTTTGACTATCTGGTGAGACTATTATACTCACTTGGATTCCATTGATCAGTTAGTTCTTAACTATTTAGACAAATTTGATTTTATTTCAAATTATTGTTAGTTCTTAGAAGTTTATTCCTATTAGTACTCTAGGTTTCAATCTATCATTTATTTTATTTGACTCTCCGCACTCATATGACCTACCCACATGATTCTTCTTATTTCTTTTTATCATTACACATCATTTTTTTTTTAAGTCATCGAAAGTGTATGAGTTAACTTGAACGTACTTTAACTAATCTTTTAAACCTTTAGAACTGTCGGTCGAATAAAAACCCTAATAACTATTCTTATTAGTGTTTGAAAAGACTCGAATTCAGAAACTCAAGAAACTTACTTTTACTCTTTTATCATCGTGGTTGTTTATCCACATCATTCTCGTTGTCACTTTTCAGTAACTTTTATTCTCAATGCGTTGAGAAGCTTTTCTATAGTTGCGGTATGGAATTAGCAACCAGAATAATGAGCCTAACTTTAACAGACTTTTATGGTGGTAACCTGCCCGGTTTATCTTGTCCCAGAGATGTGCAGCTCTTGTTGACTATTTCTGTTCAGTTTGATCATGGATGTCAAATTTATGCATAATTAATACCTGTTCCATATGGGTTCAGTTGATGCCATGAACTATTCTTGGCGGTGCTTGCTTATTTTTTCCAATTTTGTAATAGAATTTTCATTGCAAGGATTAAGGCTCATGAAATCCCTCCATACAAGTGTCAATTTCTTTTTTATTAATATATTTTCCTTCCGGCAAGGCTCATGACAACCAAATCAATGAGGTAGAACTAATTAAGACTACTGGTTTTGGGATTATGGTTGTTGATGCCTGATGGTGGCTATGGATAGAAGGGAAAAGGACGAACAAAAAAATTATAATAAATACGAAACGACGTTTAATATTTTCACAAAATTATGAACCCGTTTGGAGTCGCCTCATTTCTCAGGAATCAGGATAAAAACCCTTGGATTAAGGTACATGAGGGTAAGATAACAAATTCCTGAGTTCCAAGGGGTGTCAGGCATGGCCTTCCATGAATTCCTATTGAACTGTAAACTTGAAAAGCATACAGACAATGACATCTTTCTATAATATTTGTCTGAGTAATAGAATTGACAGATTCTGATAAAATCAAGCAGAAGTAAATAAAAGATGAACAATCTAATAGAAAAACGAAATCAAACAAGAAATAGTATTTTTGATTGCGCGATGCACTAATGCATATTTCTTAAGATAAAATTTATTGGCCAAGGTAGTTTAAAACTCCATTAACAAAACAGACTTCATTTATTTCTAAGTTGTGCAGAGAAACAGGATGAGCCCTTCATGAGGTGTTTTGCCAATACTAATTTCTGGGCCTTATGTGTGCACGCAGTGGATGAAGTTTGTGTGTAGTAAGGCCAAGATAATCAACGTTATCTTCCTCACCATCTCTTAGTCTCCACTCGAATTCCTGCACCAACCTGCCTATAGCTGTGCAAGCTATCAACATTGCCTGAAGAGAACCTGCACAGGCCCTCTTTCCTGCTCCAAAGGCCATTGTCTTGTACATATCCATGGGATCATATTTACTGTCAAGAAATCTCTCAGGCTTCCAAACATTAGGATATTCCCATTGTCTCTTATCCATGTTACATCCGTAAATATTTATGGCAATCTATTCAAAAAAACAACCTAAAAGTTAATATTGCTGACAAACTGACAATTAATATATACTAGTATTACGAAACCAAAAGAAAAAAAAATTACCAACCTCACTTCCAGCAGGGATAAAGTATCCTCCTATTTCAGTATCTTCATGAGCAAACCGCAAAGGAACCATTGGAGATGGACTGTGCTTCCTTAGAGTTTCATGGAATACAGCAGTTAGGTAAGGAATCTGTGCTATGTTTTCCTCTGTAATCTTGTTTGACCCGCAAACAGTTTGGATTTCCTGGAAAAGAAGATCCTGTAGTACATAGAAGGAATTATTAGAAGTGAAATTACATAACATAGAAAACCATAACAATGAACTGACTGGTTATCGTTAACCTGGCGGGTTGGATCCTTAGCAAGCTCATAGAGAGCCCATTCTGTTGTAACTAAAGTAGTATCTGCAGCCTCAATGATTGTCTCCCAGACTAACATACTTATTTGATAATCCGTTAGCGATTTACTTTCAGATTGCAAGAAATCAACATAACAGTTTCGTTCCTGTTGAAATTGAACCAAGTAACATAACAAAACCAAGGTATTAAATTAAAGAAACACTTGTCTTACGGCAAGAGAAGACTACCTCTCCTGAAGCAATTCGTTTTTTCTCCTCACTCATTAGAGCATTCATCACAGCATGCCTGCGGGAACTTAATCGTTGAATTTTCATCTCGATGCTTTTATTAGGAATCCATTTTAGATATGGGAAGAAGTCTCTCCAATCCACCTCAATTGCACCCTCCAGCATGTCAGTCACTAAAATTCTATGTATCTCTTCTTTTGACAAAGAGGTACCCAGCTCCTTCACATATACTGATTCCACGTCCCTTCCTAAAGCCTGAAAATTCCATTATCAATGCATAATGTTTTAATTAAGTCTCAAAGTCAAGATAAATGTCTGAGGAAATAAATATACTCACTTCTTTCATTGCTACTCCAAAAAGTTCAAACTCGAATATTTTTCTGAAATTCACAGCTTCCAGAGGATGATTCTTGATGTGAGCATTAAATTGGCTTGATAAATTTTCCATCATGGTGTCTCTATAGGGTCGATGTCGCTTCTGAATGTTACAAGGACATAGCCCAACTTTAATTTTGGCAACAGAATCGATATAACACATAAATCACATGATAAAAAGCAGAGAAAGTTGTAGAAACAAACCTGAGCATTTGAACCCAATACATTTGATAGAATACATCGTTTTGCCAATTTGTGAAATTCACCATAATCACTTGTAGCAACCATACATTTATCGGCAGTGAGAATCTTCAGGGCATTTGATAGCTTCCTCGTTGAAATGGACGAATATCTGGTCACCATGGCCTGAACAAGCAAGAAACATAAGCTGGAAACCATTTGTACTTCGAAATACTATGTGTATAAGATACAACTCCCTATTTATCACCTTATTTGCATTTTCTCTATGAAAAAAAGGCGGAAAATTTTAGTAATTAAACAATATGATGATTAATTTTTGTAATGCTAGTGTTCAGATTTTTCTTCGCCCAGCCCACTGCCAGTTGTGAAAACTCAGTGTCAAACTTATTTTAACAAACTGCTCATAATGTAGGTTTGGGCAATCAGTTTTGCACATGCAAGAATAAAATGACTAAAAATATTGTAAGCTCCTTATTTAAAATCTAAAACTAAGATTAGTTATGATGTTGAGCATCGAAATATATTAATGTTCACTCTAGAATACTGCTGTTCCTGAATCCTGATCAAACTCTGATGTACATCATTGGCTGTAATGGCTCAGAATTTCAAGTAACAATGCAAGAACTTGGATCAATGGTTCTCCCATTGCTTGCAAGATCAGCCCTACACACAAACAGGACGGCCAAGCACAATAGCTCACTGCACGCACTAAGAAGGTGCCCATAAAACAATCTCAAACAAAAGCTTCAGCAGGTTAAATTTAGTTCAGAACAATTCCAGTCCAACTCTACACCTGATTAAATAAGTTCATCCAAGTTCAAGGTTCAGTTGACAATTTGACTATCTCCAGTAAGATAGCCGAACAGGCTAAGGATCCAGATGTCAAATATTAAAAATGATATAAACTATGTATTTCACCTAATCACAAAACTAGTACCTCATATACCTGAAGTGAATAAGGGAGGAAAGTACTTTCTTTAGTAAGAAATTGGAATAGAATGAGGTTCTCGAACCCATTTTCTGGTAAAATTTGATGGTTGTAATAGAATTATAGAATTAGTATTTAGAAGTGAAGTGTAGAGTACCAATTGGATATTACAGTGGAGTGAACAAGTAATTTAGTTCAGTGAAGATGAAGAGAGGACAGAAGGCTGACCTCTTTAGCAACATCTGCTGAATTAAGAACAATAACAGTAGAAGCTCCGGTCCTGATGGAATAAATCGGTCCATATTTCTCAGCCCATTTAGTGAACGTCATGTGTGGTTTCTTCTCTTTCAACTGTAACAAGTTCCCAATCACAGGCAACCCGGGAATCTCTGCACCAACCCATTCATCCATCAAAAGCCCACATAAACATGAAAATTCAATACATCTTTTCCAAGTGATCAAAATCTAAACTTTATGAGACCAACAGATATCACCCAAAAGAAATAACCAAAAAAAAAAAAAAAAAATTATATATGGTACCTGGAACAGATGGAAGATTGATAGACTCCATCTTCCGAGTGAACTTAGAATTTTTAATGAAGAACAGGAGAAAAAACAAAGAAAGACAACCAAGAGCAATGGAGAAGGCAAAGGGCACTGTTAAGAAAGCTTGACTGATGCACTCCGAAGTGGCCATTGATTTTATAGAGAGTCCAAGACTCACAGATGATCAAGAGACAAACTATTGGTATTAATATACACAATGTGATAAGCATAAAATAAGCCCAAAAAAAGGCAAAGGTTAAAAAATTGTAAATTAAGTTGTGGATGAACTGATACAGTATGATAATAAATAATAATTAAGGAGTAACAGCTCATTGGTAAAGTACAAAATGAAGCTTGTCTGGCTGGTGCGAAAAGATAGGTGCACCACTGAATGTGCCCACCAAGTGATAATTAGAACGGCTTGTGACGACTGTTTGAACTTTTAATTGGCCTTACTATTTTTCTTTGCCTAGTATTGCTGATAAGTGTTTTCCCAAAGATTCTCTTTTGGCTTTTACCTATTTGGTAAGTAAGGACGGGGAGGATTGAGACAATGAATAGGAATCAACTTACTTCATATGCCGAACTAGACTAAACAACATATTCCCACCCAAGGTTGAGCGAAATCCCAAGCTAATACACTTGGTTTAATTTATTCCTAACACCCACCCTTAAATTAACACCATTTCCTTTATTTTAACAGTAAAGGGGCAGATTGGTCTTTCTGTTTTTTTTTTTTTTTCTTTTCTCCTCTTCCCTTCCCATTTCTTTCCCCAGTACGCCTCCTCCTCCCATCTTCTTCCTTTTCCCTTTCACTTTCTTCCTTATCTCTGCATCCTCCTCCCATCTTCTTCTTTTTCCCTCTACACCTCCTCCTCCCTGGCGCCTCACCATCCCAACCCACTACCCCCCCGACCACCTTGACTCCCCTTTTCGCCGTCACCCTTCACCTCAACTGTCGCACTCCGCCAACCACTTTCCGGCAGCCTCATCACCAAAAATCTTAATCGAGCCCACCATTTAACTCATCAAAGAGCCCTCTCCAATAACCCCATGTTTTCCGTCCCCGATTTCTCACCTTTCAACACCGATTTAAGCCCCCTCTCCCTAGGGTTTCTATTTTGTTTTTTGTTTTTTTTTTTTTTTTGCTTTTGCTTTTGTTTTTTGTTTTATGTTTTTTTGTTTTTCTTATTGAAATGGTGATTTTTGGTGGTTGCTATTGGGTTTGGAATGGGGTGATTTGGCTGACTGTGGTGGTGGTTTGGACGCTGTGGTGGTTTTGGGATGGGGTGGTTTGGAATGGGATGTGGTGGTGGTGGTTTGGCCGGCTGTGGGATTTGGAATGGGTATAGTTTGGATGGCTATGGTAGTGGTTTGGGATGGGTTGGTTTGGAATGGGTTGTGGTGGTGGTTTGGCTAGCTCGGGTGGTGCTGTGGTGGTTTGAAATGGGGTAAAGGGCAGTTTGGTAATAGCATCCATCCAAACCCAACCGTTACTAACTGTGTTAATTTAAGGGTGGATATTTGGAATAAATGAAACCAGTAGTATTAACTTAGGATTTGGCTAAACGTGGCAATATGTCGTTTACTCGCCGAACTAATAAGACATGATACTAAAAAAAGAGAAAGAGAGGTAGAAATTATGAAAATCAAAGATAAAAATTATCTTTCTACATCTCTTTTATGTATATCTTTGTAAAATTAGCATTACTTTTAATATATTATCCGTCAACATCTTTTACTTAACACGGGTTATTGAATGAATTTCCGTTTACCAACTCAATGATAATACATTAAAGTAACAGTTACTAATATGAAAATTATTTTATGATAAATGATTCCTAAATGAGTAAACTACATGTTTCCATTCGATGTTTAACGAAATCTCAAGTTGATATTTATGATTGTATTTATTTTAAATTTTTATCCTTAAACTAACACCGTTAATGATTGTTAGAGGTGATAAAAAACGATGAATACAGTCGACAAGTGAAGATATAGGTTTTATAGAGGGGACTGTGGGGAATCCACCAGTGGTCTCAAAAGTGATTTTGGACTTCGAAATCAATCGAAAAAAAGCTAAAAACCATTGGTTTTGATGTTGTTATCGTGAGCCACTTTTTACTAACATGAACTCATCTTTTGTCAAAGAAAGCACAAACGCACTTTAACATTCTAACGTGCGCATATTATAGTGAAAAGTTAAAAATCTGTTAAAATAAAAGAAACTTCATTACTTTAAGAGTGAGAATCTGAAATAAATGTAACCAATAATATAAACTTAAGATTTTGCTAACCCTCGGATGGGAATACATTGTTTACTCTTCCTAAATTCTAGACTTTAATATAATCCATCAATTAGGTATAGTATATTAGGGGTATCGAACGCTGATTTGCTTAACAAATCTCCAATAAAAATATAATAAAGGATAAAGCTAAATGATATATTATATAAGTGTCAAGTGATATGAGAGTCTATATAAAGTTAATGTGATATTAAGTTAAATAAATTTTAATATTATATGACATATTTTATGATATGTTAGGTCAGTCTGTACAAATATCATTATCCTACTATAGATTATCATGATTTGAATGTGTAGTACTCGGTAATAATAATGATGTGGCTCGTAGGATTGTATCAATTAACTCACGTGATCAGGCGTATGGGAAACATGATTGAATGAGGATTTTATAATTCTATTTTTCATAGGGTTGATATTACTAACCAGGACCACAACATAGCCGTAAAATAATTATATCAAATTGATGATATCACAATTCTCAATCCCCAAAATTACACAAAAACTGACTACAAGATTTGGTGCATTTCATTACCAATAGGTAAATTTTTATTATTATTATTATTTTTTAATGATTAGAGGTATTTTTATCGGTTTACGTGTATCCTAATTAATCTATTGAGATTTTCTGAAATTACCAACCAGATAAAAGTTTCAGTGATCACCTTTATTAGCAATCAATGAAAAATTTGAACTTAACATCTTTTGAATAATATATCCAAAAATTTTTATCCATTCATTCCGCCAGAAAGGAGTTGGTTAACCGTTCAAATTTTTACATGGGAATTGTTTCTTTCATTCAGAATTTCTAAGTCCAATTATATATCAACAACCTTTTATTATTGCGTTTCCTATATCGTATAGTGTAATAAATTGCAAAAGGTTGATTGCTAGTTTTAGTAGTGTAATTGATTGCTTTTAACTTTCATGAACAGCAAATTAAATAAATTTCTTAAAATATATATACCCAAGATCACCCACCACCTTACGGCTGGTCTTGGGTATATTATTCAAAAGATTATGAATTTTAGAACGGATTTAATGAATATCAAGTGGGGATCACAGCCCCCACTCAAATTTTAAAAAATTCAAATTTATATTTATTTAAATTTTATCCCTATAGAACTTTGAGATTTTGGGAACGGAACAACCCCACAATAAATTTGGATTTTGTTTTTAATCTCGAGACTCTTACCAGAATGGCAATGCAAAATAGAAACTTGAAAACTAGAAGCTCTCTTGCCTCTTTCTCTCATGGTGCTCTAAACTCTCAGGTCTCTCTGGCCTAACTCTCCTTCCAAGTCTCAAAGGCAATATTTTTCATCAATTTATCAAAAGATAATGTTCCTAACCCTAAATCCATAATTTTTTCTATTCAATTGACGTTTTATTTTTGCATTCTTCCAATAAAATTGAGATTCGCTATTGTTCTACTTGTATTATTTATTGAGAATTTGAGATTTGAGTAATAATTTAGTGTATATTGTAAAATTTCATATAACCATCTTTTTTAGAGTTTCTAAGTTTGTATATGCAAGAAAGATTAATTAAAATCATGATCTTGTTAACTTAATTTTTAAATTTTAATTTAGAAGCTTATAAAAGTAAATGATATATTTGGCTTTTGTTTATGAGAACATAATTATATTCATTTGAAGACTGTAGTTTTGAGTTTAGGTGCTGAGTTGCTGCAATGTTTTCTTTTAAACGAATTCATATTTATTGGTGGAGTGATGATAATGATCTGAATGCTGACCAGAAAGGTAGAGAAAGCTTACTACTAGAAAAAACCTCATCATCCTTGACAGAATAATTTGAAAGATTTTATTGACTATTCTCAAAATTATTAAGAATTTGAAATATTCCTTGACATTTTGGATGATTCTTGAGAATTTGGTAAAAACTAAATTTTATGAATTTTGTTCTTTGCAGTTGTAATCTCAATCCTTGACGGTTGAAAAAACAAAAAAAAAAAAAACCCTAAAACATTTGCTTACTTGGTATTTCACTAAGGCAAAAGTTTCCAAAACTCATTGTTTAAAAAAGAGTAAACGACATATTCCCACCCAAGGTTTGACGAAATCCCAAGTTAGTATCACTGGTTTCATTTATTCCAGATTCCCACCCTTAAAGTAACAGTGTTATGAATTTTTAGGGTTTAGAGGGTACAATTACCATAATGCCCTTAACCCTAAATTAATTAAAATTATGTTTTAACCCCTAAAATAGTAGAATTACAAAACTTACCATTTTATTTTCAAATTATATCAAAAACACCCTCGGTCACTATACATCCTCAACAGAAATAGCCCGATCTGGGCTGTTTCCGACGACGTCGAACCCCCTGGTCACCTCCATCACCTTCCCCGTAGTCCGTCGTCCAAAACCCCTCTGGTTCCTGACTCATTTGCCCCTCCAATCGCCGGCACCGTTAGGCTTAGGGTTTCGGTGTTCTTCACCGGATTTCGGTCAATTCCGGCGGTGAAAATCCAATTGGACACCACCAATGCAACCACCGTCCCCAAATCTATAAAACCCCTATGTCCCCAGCAACCGTTTCGTCGTCATTCGCCGGCGAGAGTTCGTGTTCACGGCCGTTTTTCGTTACCGTGGCGGAGATCGGCGAGTGATGAGGGGTTGTGAATGGTATGGTTTGTAGAGGGGAGGATGGGGGTTCAAATGGTGGTGACTAGGGGGATTTTGGGTGGAAGAATCGCAGAAAAGAGCGAAAAACGTCGGGAACAACGGACTACACGTGCGCCGGAGGATGTTAGAGGGGTGGTCTGCAACGTGCGCTGCCCATGTAAAATGACCAATTTACCCCTTTACCGTTACATCAAATATTTTCGTCACTTAAAGGTGTGAATCTAGAATAAATGAAACCAGTGGTACTAACTTGGGTTTCGTCAAACCTTGGGTGGGAAAATGTCGTTACTCTTTAAAAAACTTGTTTATATATAAAATATAAAATAAAAAATCTCTAATTATCGTGTGACTTCCCCTTAAAATTGTATCTCTCTACCCTAAATTATTTTCCCTTTTCGTTCTCCACATCTTGTTGAGCTTTCTCTTCAATTCTCGTTCCACCTTAAATCATTCTCGATCTTCTTTGTTCTCACCCGATTATACGACAAGCTTTGGCCTTCGAGTCCTGACTTAGACACTCGCCGTTCGCCATTTTTCAAGCTCTTTTCGTGCTACCTTTAGCTCATCTTAATGAAAAAAAATATAGTTATGATTGATTTTAATTTTATTTTTTTTTGCCCCATTGAGTGAAATTCCGGATCTATCACCGTATGAGTTCTATCACTTCCTTGAGGGATTAGCCCAAAAAAATAAAAAAAGGTGCGTCTAAATTATATGGAATTATGGAACGAACACCTGCAAACAGCAAATGAACTCTTAAAGAGTGCATTGATAAACATAATTAATTTTCTGAAATTTATGCATTAAGCTACGTAAAGAAATAAGCACTGATAATTTCTAACGAATTTCTCACTGATTATAAATCTATAATATACATTCTGTTGACTGCTGGGTGTTCCTTAATTAATTGTTGCCATACAAATTAGTATACTACATTTCATAAATTAAGATACGGAATAACAAAAGTGGACTGTTCTGTGAGATGTGTGAAACTTTAAACAGTGAAGGAAACAAGAAATAATAATAGAAGAATTAAAGACACGGAATCTAGTATCCTGGGAATATTGTGGAAATGGTGACGCATATGGAAGCCTATATTGGGTAGAAGAATGATTCCTGGGGTGGTGGTGGTAAGGAAACGGGGGGGTGGAAGAAGAGGGGGGTGGGGGGGGGGGGGGGGCGGGCGGCGGCGGCGGATAGCTAACTGCTGCTGGTGGTGAATACATTGGCGGAGGAGCAGATTGGATCGGTGGAGGAGGGGAGTGGACTGGCGGTGGTGGTGAGAATAGTGGTGGAGGAGGAGAGTGGATTGGCGGAGGAGGAGAATGGACTGGGGTTGGGGTTGAGTGGACTGGGGGAAGGAGGAGAGTGGACTGGTGGTCGTGGTGAGCGGACTGGGGGAGGAGGACAATGGCCTGGGTGTGGGGAGGAGGAGAATGGACTGCCGGTGGTGGTGAGTTTACTGGCGGTCGTGGTGAGAAAGAGTGGACGGGGGGTGAAGGCGGTGGAGAGCGTACCGGGGGGGGGGGGGGGGAGGGCGGGGGGGGGGGGAGGAGGAGAATGGACTGCCGGTGGTGGTGAGTTTACTGGCGGTCGTGGTGAGAAAGAGTGGACGGGGGGTGAAGGCGGTGGAGAGCGTACCGGAGGTGGAGAAGAAGTTGGTTTGGGTGCATTTGGCTTTGGTGCAGCGCATATTTCCTTATTGCCTTTCACAGGTGTGTTTACACGACCTGGCATATATTAGTAGATTTTTTTTTGTTTTTGTTTTTTTGAAGGCATCTAAGGAACCAGGCCATATTGGAGTCTGTCTAATATGTAGAGACACATAACACTTTATAAACCCAATAAGCCAAAGTAATTACACAAAGGGGAGAGTTTATATTAGTGGATTTCTGTTTAGGTCTATCAGGTAAGCAATGGTCTGTATCATCAAACACAACCCCCTTCTTCTTTTGTGGTTTATCATGCTTGTGCCTCACCATTGAAGTAATTGTGTGAAAATGTGAAGTTGTTCAACTTAGGCAAACTGCACAATTTCTCGGGGACAAATCCTGTTATCATGTTATTGGAAATATTCAAATGTTCAATATTGCTTAGGCTTTTAAAGTCCTGGTATAATATGCCTCTTAATGAGTTTGAAGAAAGATCCAAAACCCGTAAGTTTCCAAGTTTACAAACTCTGTTGGCAAACAACCAGTAAGGTTGTTGTTGGATGAAATGATCTCATTCAAGGTGTTTCCCATATTGCCAATGCTGCTCGGTACACAACCTGTGAATTGGTTACTGGAAACAACCATAACGGAAGCTGTTGAGGACCTAAAAGTGGGAGGAATGGAGAATTTGAATCGGTTGTTGTTCAAAAACAATACATCCAACTTCTTCTCAAAGAGTTGAGAAGGCAATTCACCCTCAAACTCATTATACCTTGTATCAAGGTACTTAAGTTTGGGTAGTGATATAGCAGTTGTTGGGAATGGACCAACAAAGCGGTTGTTACTTAGATCAAGCTCATCAAGTAGCGAAAGCTTTGAAATACTATTGGGAATTACCCCACAAAATCTGTTAGAATTGATGTGCAAAAGAGCAATATCAGTCAATAGACCAAACTCCGCAGGAATGTAGCCAGCAATGTCAGCGTCATTAAGATCAATGCCGGCAACAACAGTTAAATACGATCATCAAGAGCCTGTGCGCAAAAAACACCAGTATAAGAATATACATCAGGTCCAGACCAATTTCCTGTGGTGTTAAATGGGTCTGAATAGATGGCCTTTTTCCATGCTTGGAGGGAAATGTAGGCTCTCCTAAGTCTTTTATTGGGGAAACATATGTTAACATTAACTTTGTCTTGATAATTAGGTTGGTGGGATGCCAAAACACTAGCAGAATCCAATTTAACCTTTTGATTTAATGAAATTTGTTCGTAACCTTACACGAAATAGTTGAAGCCTTTTGAATTTGGATTGAGGAGTTGGGCCTTCAAGCCCATTCGAATGGTATAATCCTAGTTAACCTTGCATTGATTATCGAAACTCTTTGACCTCCGTCAGACAGTGAATGAAGGTAGTGTAGTGAAAGCTTGAAGAGATTGTTTTTATTAACAATAATATTATATTTATAAAAAAAATTTACAAGGTAAAATAAGGTAATAAAAAATGAATGGAAGAGTTTGTTTCACTCTTTCATTCATTTTTTACTACACCACTTTATATTGAGATCTTTGTAAAATATCTATGTAAGTGTAGTATTACTCTTTTATTAAACTACGAGGTCTTGTTTATTAAATGCATCAACCATGTCCTCAAATCTCAATGTTAATAGGGAACAATTAGGGCTTTAAATATTGTTCCATTAACTGTTGCTTTTTAGTATTTTCTTGAAGGAACGGGAGGAGCTAGTATGGTATGATTTGTTGGACAAATGGCCAAAAATAATAATAATAATAAATAAATAAAATAAAAAAAGCTTCTCTCCGCCCAGAAACATAGCTCATATGATTATGGCTATAAAGAAATTAAAGAATAAGAAAAGACATCACCCACAAACACTTGCATGGCTGTCTGTCTGTCTGTCTGTCTATCTCATCCCGAGAACTAAAATTAAAATATGAAGCTTTAAATTTTGGGGTAACCCCACTAACTTAAATATTGAAGAACGCTTTATGTTAAAGATTAAATTTGACATTATAGGAAAAGCGATTCAACTAAAATAAAAGGCAAAAAAGCACCAGAGGGCAGTATCTATCTCTTCAAAAAGACTCTCTTCTCTACTCATTACCCACAAATTTTCTTTTCCATTATTACTCAGGAATATAAAAGTGCCCTAATATCCCATTGATCTCCACTAAGAAGGACCACAGGCACGGTAAGTGAGAAACAGCAGAGGAGACATTGAACACTAGCATCGTGGTTCGGGCCATCTCACTCACCTAGACAACTGTTATTCAATCACAAAACTTCTTAGTTATGGAGATGCCATTGCCACGTGTGATATGCTTCCATTCTAATCATACACTACACTGATCATATAATTATAATGAAAGATTATGAATAATATTTTAGTTCCAGACTAAACCACACTCTTGTATGTAATTCCAGTCTCCTTTGATTGAAAAACCGTCAAAGAATATTGTTAATATCAAACTCTCACATCGGTTAAGACTAAAGAGAACTAGAGAAGACGGTTTTAATCATTTATATAGTATAAAAACATTCTAAAAAATCTAAAAATGTTTTTTCAAAACAAAAACTTGCGAGCTTGTAAGCAGTCAGATGATTACAATGAAGGATACATGCAAACTTACGACATAGACGTGAAAATGTTAGTAATGTATTGTCTTTAAAACTAATCATGCAATCTTGATTTGGTGTCAGTTTTGGTAATATTTATATAAATAAAATAAAGTGGGAAGGTAGCACATAATTTAAAATGACTTTAGTAGATAAAATATTTTATGTTGGTTGTTTGTTGTTGGTTGTATGGCAGAAGCCATTAATATCATATGCACATTTTAATTAAAAAATGTTTCAAATATTGCAAGTACTACCAAACCAAACCAAGAAATAAATATTCAGCAAAACGAGATGTGGACAAGAAAATTGCGTAACACAAAACAAGGGTGTATTTGCAAGCATTGTTATGTCCAATTAACAAAAGAATCAAATTTTGGGAGTGACAAAGTAGATTAGATGGGAGTATGGGAATGGGACTTAGGAGAGCCAAACAAACTCCAAAATCCATTGTCAAACGACAACACTTTGGAAAGATAAAATTGACTCGCGTGGTAAATTCCTATTATATTTATCAACGTGAAACGATGCGTTTGACGTCACCGGTGACCGGAGAGCATAGGTCAACGCAGCGGCTCACATGGCCCAACCTCTTCGTTGGCACCGTTTGACTGTCCAAAAATTAGTCAAACAACATTAATTACAAATTTCACCCTTTTTTAATCCGAATTTGATGATATTTTTCTAGGTCAAATTATCACCATCATGCTTTTGGACCTAGAAGTCACACTGGAATTTTGGAATCCAAAGTAATAGGATTTTACCATATTAGCCTGCAACGCATTAACCTGAACAAGATGCAGCAAATGATTAATTATAGGATTAATGGAAGGCGATTGATTTGAACATTATTTACTAGATAATTATAGATCCAGCGTTTTTTAATTTTGCTGTAATGTTCACGTGAGTTGACCACCTTTTTTAACAATGACAGCTCAATTGAGGCATGCATCCACGAGATTTTGCAATCTTAAGTCTTAACTAATGCTAATCTCAATCAATCCATCAATTATTTATGTTATTGCTACCGAATGCTTGATAAAGAGAAGACAATGTTTACCAGTACGTGAGGATTATGGGAATTTGACTTCAAATCTCAATTAAAAACACTCCACCAACTAATAATTTTAGCACCTTGAATAAGTAACCACGTTAACTGCTCAAATATTGGAGGGAAGGGAGAAGTCAAAGTAACTTCCCCTGCAACTTTTCTCAAACATTCGGCAGAGGAATATCAAAAAGAACAAAAAAAGGAAAAAAGGAAACAGTTATCTGTGACTGTAAATCAAATAATGCTGCTGCCACTCCGTAAACTTATGAAAAGAGACTGGTGATAGCAAAAATAAGTTGACAACTGAGAAGGGTAAAAATGGAAATTCAAAGAAAATTTTGGTGTAATTAATGATGAGGAAGAGAAGAGAGTAGCAGCATTCAATGCAGACTTGTTTGTATTAAGTGCGCGTAGTAAATGAGGAATTGATTGGCAGCGACGGATTTGGTTTTTCTTGGTTTCTCTCAGCTTCACTCCCTTCCCCTTCATCTAAAACTGAAGGAAGAGAAAAAAGTGGTTGGTGAGTAGTGATAGTAGGAGGGAAGTTGGTGAAGCTGTTTTGGCTCCCTGCTTTGAGTTTAAGATTTTGCATTTATATCTCCTTTCTTATTCTGGGTATTTTTGATTGTCACATTACTTTACCGGGTAAAATATTGGAAAATTTTGAGGCTTGGCTTTTGGGTCTTGGTAAAATTTGTACAGCCATTTATTCTTTTGTTGGTGGGATGGCTTTGAATCTGGGTTTTGTATCTTTGGTGGGGTTAAGAGTTGGGAACTGTATTTAATTTTCTTGGGTGTTCAATGTGATACTGCTGTTGAATTATTTTGAATTTGAGTTACTAGTTTTAGACCCTCCCAGTCCCAGTTATGGGCCCTTGAAGGATGCCAAAGCTGAGTTTCTCTGATCGCTTTAAAGGTTTGATTCTAATCTCCTTTGTTTTTCTTTTTCTTTTTCTATTTTTTTAATCTCTTTCTCTTCTTTATGACCAATTCTTAGTTGATCTCACTCAAAAAGTTTATTGGTCTTAATACAAGAATCTTTATTTGTGCTGTTTTTGAATGTTGTAGGTACTATCATATAAAGTAAAACCTCCTCTTCAGTACAGCAAAACTTGGAATGTCATCCAATCTGAAATTTTGACTACTTATCTGATTCAAAAAGAAAACATTTGATATCCTCCACAACCTCAAGATACCCGCTTTGCTTTACATTTGGGTTTGAAACTGATTCTATTTTCTTTTGGGGTTCTTTGGCTGAGTTTCTTTATTTCTGAATATCAGTCAGATTGGTTGGTTACAGAGAGAGTAACATCTATGCATCTTTCACTATGGAAGCCAATAACTCACTGTGCAGCTCTAATCATGGACAAAAAAACCAAAAGAAGAAACCGTTCTGGTTTGACCGTGGACGTAAAGCACAGAACTTCTATGCTTCGTCAATTGCAAGAAAACAAGCTCAAAGAGGCTTTGGAGGAGGCATCCGAAGAAGGGTCCTTAGCAAAATCTCAGGACATTGATTCTGATTCACTCAACCATGAAACAAGCTTAGGCCGATCACGCTCTCTTGCTAGGCTCCATGCCCAGAAGGAGTTTCTCCGAGCAACTGCTCTAGCTGCGGACCGAATTTTCAGTTCAGAGGATTCAATTCTTGAGCTAAGCGATGCCTTCTCAAAGTTTTTAACAATGTACCCCAAATTCCAGTCTACTGAAAAGATTGACCAGTTGCGATCAGACGAGTATGGACATTTGTCCGAGTCTTTTGCTAAGGTATGTCTTGATTATTGTGGCTTCGGGCTATTTTCTCACATTCAGACTCAACTAAATTGGGAGTCGTCGACGTTCACTTTGTCTGAGATTACTGCTAATTTGAGTAACCATGCTCTCTATGGTGGTGCTGAGAAAGATACCGCTGAACATGATATCAAGACTAGGATTATGGACTATTTGAACATTCCTGAAAATGAATATGGACTTGTTTTTACTGTTAGTAGGGGTTCTGCATTTAAATTGCTTGCTGAATCATACCCTTTTGAGACCAATAAGAAGCTGTTAACCATGTTTGATCATGAAAGCCAGTCTGTGAATTGGATGGCTCAGAGTGCTAAAGAGAAAGGTGCTAAGGTTTATAGTGCGTGGTTTAAATATCCCTCTTTGAAACTCTGCTCTAGGGAGCTTAGAAAGCAGATTTCAAATAAGAAAAAGAAGAAAAAGGGTTGTGCAAATGGGCTATTTGTGTTTCCTGTTCAGTCTAGAGTAACTGGGGCTAAGTATTCTTACCAATGGATGGCACTTGCCCAGCAAAACAATTGGCATGTACTGCTTGATGCTGGGTCATTGGGTCCCAAGGATATGGATTCATTAGGACTGTCCCTATTCCGGCCAGATTTTATTATTACTTCTTTTTACAGGGTATTTGGGTCTGATCCAACTGGGTTTGGTTGCCTTTTGATCAAGAAATCTGTGATGGGAACTCTTCAGAATCAGGCTGGTCGTACTGGGTCTGGTATGGTGAAGATCCTTCCTGTTTTTCCCCAGTATTTGAGCGATTCAGTGGATGGTCTTGATGGTTTGGCTGGGATTGGAGATGATGCTATCAATGGTAACGAAGAATCAATGCCTGAACCGCATGGGGGGTCGCAGATGCCTGCCTTTTCAGGTGTTTTTACTTCCAATCAGGTTAGGGATGTCTTTGAAATAGAGATGGATCAGGATAATAGCTCAGATAGGGATGGCGCAAGCACAATATTTGAGGAAGTTGAGAGTATTTCAGTTGGGGAGGTTATGAAAAGTCCAATTTTCAGTGAGGATGAATCATCAGATAATTCATACTGGATTGATTTGGGTCAGAGTCCATTTGGATCTGACAATTCTGGCCAGTCGATTAAGCAGAAAGGAGGTTCACCGCTACCACCATCATGGTTTTCAGGCAAGAGGAACAGCAAAGGAATCTCTCCTAAAGCAACATCAAAATTATCCAAAAGCCCAATTTATGATGACAGGAGGGTTGAGCTTCCAATGCAGGATGATAGTATGCTTTCTTTTGATGCAGCTGTTTTATCAATGTCGCAAGACCTTGATTGTGTTAGAGTGATACCTGAAGAAGAAGATTCTGCTGAAACAGAAGCTGCTTTTGGAAATGGTGGCGAACACGTACATTTCCAGCACGCTGGAGAAATTCAAGAAGAATATGAAATCAGGAATGGGTCACTGTTACCTGATTCTAAGTTGAGGTCTACAATAAATGGGCTCAGAACCAAGAACCAGAGTTCAACTCTTCGTGATTGCAACATTGAGAGTGCTTCGGCCTCAGAAATTTGCCAAGAAAAAGAAAGTGCAATAAGAAGAGAGACAGAGGGAGAGTTTAGACTGTTGGGAAGAAGGGAAGGGGATAGGGTTGGTGGTGGTAGATTTTTTGTTTTAGAGGACAATGATCGGGTGGCAAGCATGGACCGCAGGGTATCTTTTAGCATGGAAGACAACCGAAAAGAAAACTTGAGCCACTTGGAGCAAGGGGAAATTTCCTTAACTGCACTAGGTGAAGATGAGTATTTTAGTGACATGGAATATGGCGATGAACAAGAGTGGGAAAGGAGGGAGCCTGAAATGATTTGTCGGCACCTTGATCATATTAATATGTTGGGTCTCAACAAAACTACCCTCAGATTGCGTTATCTAATAAATTGGCTTGTCACCTCATTACTTCAACTTCGGTTACCAAATTCAGGTGAGGATTCGGGAGTGCCTCTTGTACAGATTTATGGTCCTAAGATCAAATATGAAAGGGGTGCATCTGTAGCCTTTAATGTGAAAGAGAGCAGTGGTGGACGACTAATTCATCCTGAAATAGTTCAAAAGTTGGCTGAGAAAAATGGTATATCTCTTGGGATTGGTATCCTTAGTCATGTCAGGGTAGTTGACAGTCCAAAACAGCATTGTGGGGCATTTGAGCTTGAAGATACAGACTTGTGCAAGCCAATGGTGAATGGACGTGGAGATGGCAAAAATGTCTTTTACCGAGTTGAGGTTGTTACAGTGTCACTTGGATTTTTGACCAACTTTGAAGATGTTTATAAGATGTGGGCTTTTGTGGCTAAGTTTCTTAATCCATCATTTAAAGAAGATTTATCAGCTCTTCCAGAGGATTTGGAAATGTAGGACTGGGGGAAGTTTGAATGGATGCTTTTGTTTTAATTTTGACCAAAGATGGGCCCCTCTGTTGCTTCTTGCAACTCTTGTGAAGAGGATTATACTCGCACCTACTGCCCAAGTTTGAATCTTGGACCTGGCTGCGGTGGTAGATGCTGAAGCAAACAGGAAGGTACGGTTTGTGTGGTCTGTCTCTATTGCTCTTGGAGGTGATCCCTTGTGAGCAGAAATTTATTTTATATTCTTGTTGAATGTACTTTTTGTATTACTCATATTTAGTGGTATGTAGAGTTTGCTTTGATATTATATATCAGCTGAGGAAGTTATTGGTTACTTGAAATACAATCAAAATGGTTTGGAGACCGCTTCCCTTATTGCAATATAATCATTTTATTACTAATGATAGTCAATGGTTTGCGTTTCCCTTTCCTCCTGTATTATATCTCAGAGATTTTTACCATCAGTGTCTTCTTTACCATGTTTTGCCTGAAGAAGGGAGCAATCTTGTTATTTAGCATACGCCTTTCATAAATTAAGTTCTTATGTATCATTGAGAAACTGTTTTCTTCTTAATGAGAACTTTGTACATATAAAGCTTCTTCAATTTAGAGATGGTTGTAATGTAAGAATTTTGCTACTACGGATTATTTTCTCAGAAATTTTCCATCTTGGTAATGGCACAAATGTATTTGTCTGGGGGTAGTTTTGGCTAGTCAATAGAAAGAGATTATAGTTAGGGGAGGATGCTGATTCTATTTTCTTCTCATCATGTGGGGATTGCAATCTAGGCCTGTAGCTTTGACTTATACCTCTCATGAATAAATCAGGTTGATGACAATTCATGCATCTACCAAAAAATTTAGATTCCCTGCAGTTGTTTTAGTTTGCCTTTTGCCATGTTTATGCTGTGTTCAAGGATATGCATGGTTGAAAATCTAGATCCATTTTACTAATTCCAAATCCTTGTCTGATATACACAATCTGGCATAAAAAACCAAAGAGAGCAAGTCCAAACGGCCTGTATTCTACTTACTACCTTCAATTTTCTTAACCTCAGTTAGAGTCACAAAATCCAAGTGTACATTTGAGATTCAGCCAGTCTTCCATATTTTATCACGCAGTATATGCATACGTGCAGGTTGATTGAATCCATGAGTATAAAACTTTTCTGCTTAACCTGAGTAAATGCGCATATAAAAAGGGCAAGAATACAGCTGATATTTCTAGGAATCTCTTCAAGTTTCTCAACAATGCTTCTGGATATTGATGGCTATACTCCATCCAAATTCCAGAGTACACCAGAACTCAAGTCCTAAGGTCATCATGAGAAGAAAATCAATTCAAAACAGTTGATAGAAAGAAATCATTTTCATGCATTAGTGTGAATACAACTGGGCAGATTGGATTGTTGTGGTCCCTGGAAATGTAATAAGTTTAACAACTAAAACAAAGTTGTCCAATTTTATTGCAACAGAGAAAGAAAACTAATTAGACCTTTAGATTTTACAACCTACCAAACCCACGCAAGGAAAATCCAAATACCAAAAAACACAGCTATGGGTTCTGTTTTCTGTAAAGGATAACGTTGAAGAAACAGCACATTCATTCACATCAGGACACAAAAGTAAATGTAGCCCAGCTTAGCTAAAATTGGGCCTCTTTTTGTAGGATTTCTGTTGGTGATGATGAAGTTTTATACATCTTTTCTTGAATCAATCACTTCAGTTCAACACAAACAAATAATTATTATCTTTCATATGCGCTGTGAAAATATAATAAATAGTATCAATTAATGTTAAAAAAAGAAAAAAAAAAAAAAAAAAGAAACGGGGAAATTGATTCTGTCAACCTGATTGTTTTGGTCACCTGGAAAGAACAGAAGAAGACAATTGGACCTTACAGCCTACAAGAAAATTTGGGCCTTGTCCAAAGTCCAAATCCAAAAGCAATGGCACAATAGCAATCACTTCTTCATTCTACTGTTGGGAAACAATTCCCACTCTCCAGTCCACGCGCTGATATTGACGTGAAATCACACTTACAAAAACAGCGGGTCAGTGTCAGCGAAACAGCGACATCATCACCACAGCACCACTTCTCTCGTACGTGTCTCACACTCGCACTGTAACCCCCAACAGGAACCAGCCGACGGCCTAACATTACATGGGAGATGAATCATACCCGTACCACTACCACCATTTCTCATTTACTCAGCAGTTGAAGAATGATGTATGAGTTGTTAAATCTGCTTCGCCTTCAACTATCGTTTACCTTTGAGAATTACAGTTGAAATGAAAACTATTTAAAGCAGTCACAATGGATCGTACGAAGATGTTCAATTTAAGACGACCTTCCTTCTTTAATGTTTTCTCTTCTAGTTCAAGTGCAGAACGACTGGTAACTTCTCGATCTTACTCTAATCCTACATTCTCAGTCGCTATATGTATACATTTTTTTTGTTTTTTTAACACTTAGTTTCTACTTATTCCTCGAAATTAGGGTTTAGTGCTAACAAGGGTTTGTGATTTGCACTGTGGTTTGTGCTCTGGCTGTAAATTAGTTGGTGATAACTCGCGTATTTTATTATTTCAGACTCGAATTTATGGCTTCTAATCAAACCACATTGTTTGATGGTGCCAAATGACCTACAACAAAATGCTTATAACGTATCTACTTGTAGGCAATTTTATTGCGCATGGCTGCCTCTAGAACGCTTTCTAAGTAACTAAGTGTAGGAGCCTAGTTTCATTGTCTGCTGGAACAAGTTGGGTTTGCTTGGTTAAAGTTAATTAAGTAATTTGTGATCACTTTATATCAATTTTTTGATAAAATGCCTTGCATGGTAAAATCTAAAGCAATTGATATCTATCCGTCACAGAAAATTCCAATAAAGTTCGTCAAACACATGGGAGGCCAAACCTCTGGATCAGTCTCATTAATAGGGCCAAGTGGGAATACGTGGCATGTTAACTTGATTCAACAAAATGGTGATTTATTTTTTGATCAAGGATGGCCAACATTTGTGAGTGACCATTTCTTGGAATGTGGTGACCTTTTGGTTTTCAGATATGATGGTGAGTTGCATTTTAATGTGCAAGTATTTGACCAGAGTGCATGTGAGAAGGAAGATGCATTTAATTCCAAACGCAGCCTAGATTCTAGCTTCAACAATAGTACATGGCAGAAGACAGAAAGGGAGGAGGTGGCTGCCCTTTCAGAAAGAATTTTTCAAGGTGTGCCGAAGAAAATTAAAGGCAACTCTTCTGTTCTTCAAATAGACTGGATAGACAAGGATCGGGAAGCAATTTCCTGTGAGGAAACAAAGCACAATGGTATTCCATCTCATAGCTTTTCCTTGCCTTCTCAATCGAAACCTTGCAATTTAAAGCCAGGTAAGAATCCCAACCTTTCATCCTTTGGGTTTTGTGATGTTGAATCTCAGTTGAGCACATTAATATCTGAACCACTGAAGAATTCTGTTACACTTCATACTTGAGTCAACTTATAGTTAATAAAGGCAAGAGAAAGTAAAACTGGACTGTGAAGCTATTTCTGCATAGTATGCTAGTATATTTGCGAAAAGAGAGTAAACTACCATTTGCATTTCTAATTTCTTCTTATAAAGAAAAATTTGTGATCTCACAAATTTTTGTTAGATTTGAGATACTTGACACATTAGATCATTTTCAATTTTCAAAATTAAATAAACTTCAAAAAGAAAATGCAGACATTTTGGTAAGAAACAGAAAAGAAAATGAATTGAATTTGCATGATTAAAGCTATATGTTGCTGTTATCAGAACATGAAGAGAAAAAAGTTGCTCAATCTTTCAATTCGTCTTTCCCCTATTTCGTCCGAATAATGAAGAGGTTCAACATTAGTGGCTCATACACCCTGGTAAGCATTTTGTTTTTTGGTTATGGATTTCTGACAGAAACATGTGGTTCATGCATTGTCCAAAACTTGTGTCAAGTTACTTCCACAATTTATGATGCTTGTTATAAATTAGACTGAGATTGAGAAGAATATCAGATACAAAAATGTTAATTGCTGGGAACCTTGAAATATCTGCTTCTGGATTCAGTATCTTGAGCTCTAAGTGCTGCTCTATCTATTCCCTTGCCCCTCAAAAATCTAGCTTTAGATCAATCAATGAGTACTTTTATGATTAATTGCTGAATTAGCATTGAGCCCCTATTTCACCATAGCAATGCTATTCCTCCTTTCAATTGATTTCACTCACCAAGAGCTCTCTTGACACTAATGCTTGTCTCCTTAATGTGGAAATTCACTGACAAAATTCTGAAGTGAACTTTCATTCTGGAACTTATTAGTAAATTCTGTTGCGTTTTGACTTTTTGTGGTGCAGAACATTCCTTACCAGTTTTCAATGGCACATCTTCCAAACTGTAAAACAGAGATTGTCCTTTGTAATCTGAAAGGAGAAAGTTGGATTGTGAATTCAGTGCCAACTACGAAAGTGCATACAAGTCATACTTTTTGTGGAGGATGGTTGGCTTTTGTTCGTAGTAATGAGATAAAAATGGGCGACGTCTGTATTTTTGAACTTGTGCAAAAGTGTGAATTTTGTGTGCATATTCGTAGAGTTGGAAAGGAAGACCCACATAGTCAAAATGAAGAAGTAGCTTTAAGTGGGTCACATTTTGGGTCTGCTGCCACTTCATACAAAAAATTTGATGGTTTGTCAAAGACAGTGAAGAACTCTCTAAAGATCCATTCAAAATGCATGAAAAAGGTACAACTATGCGGTACAAAAGAGTCGAAGACTTGTGACATACGGAACCATGTTAGTGCAACAAGGAATTCTTCTTGTGCTGCATTATGCGCTCGGTCAAAAACGACCAACGAAAAGCCAGGTAAAGGTTTCAATTTATGATATTTTGACTTGTAATTATTACAAAGATCTGAATGACTTTGACTTACAAGACTTTTTAACAAACCTCGTAACTTAAGTTCAGCTTGTGCATTACAAAACAGAGGCAGCTATCCACAGTAGAAATAATGTTGAAGCTGAAATGGGTTCACCAAATAGCGGTAATTTGAGAATCATGATGGCACATGATGAACAAAAAGCAGCTCGATCTTTTACTTCACATGTCCCTCATTTTGTGAGAATAATGAGGAAGTTCAACATCAGTGGATCATATACTCTGGTGAGGACCATCCTGTGTATGTTTTAGATTTTTGGCTGACTTTAATGTAATGTCTATGGTTGTTGATCTAAATGTTTAAACCACACTATCCAACTGTACCCAGTTAAGTTATAGTCATTTATAAAATTCTACTTAATACTCGGAGATCCTAGAAGGCATGATTGAACTCATAATTGAGATCAATAGTTAAATTTTTGAGTCTCAACTAGTGCTGTTGTTTCATACGAAAACAGAAAAACAAATCTTGAGGATTTCACACCGTAACTTTATTCATTTTCTAGAATTTCTATTTGGAAAGTTTCTCTTACTTCTCATTTCTTTATATGTAGGGTGTGTGGGATAGTATGTACAATATTTTATCATTGTTGTGTGAAAGTTGCAGGCTGGTTACTTATGATACTCTAGGACTGAACACCACATGTTGACAAACTGTGGTTGATCTTTGTAAAAGAAGAAAATATCATTCTTTTGCATTTATTTGGCTGGTTACCATCATGCAGAAAATCCCATATAAGTTCTCTATGGCACATCTTCCTGACTGCAAAACGGAGATTCTCCTTCGAAATATAAAAGGGGAATGTTGGACAGTGAATTCTGTCCCAGATTCCAAAGGGCGAATGGTGCATACTTTTTGTGGCGGGTGGATGGCCTTTGTTCGTGGTAATGACATCAAGATTTGGGATATTTGCATATTTGAACTTATTAACAAGTGTGAAATGCGTGTTCGTATATCGGGAGTTGGAAGAAAAGAACTAGTGGAAAATCAAATATCTAATGAATAATCTACTGACATCTGTCCTCCTTTGTGAGGCATAAGGAAGAGTTCAACCTTGACTGTTCACAATTTGGTGAGTGTTGATACATGAACCTTCTATTGTTTTTAACTGTTTTCAGAGTTTCTAAGGAGAAAAAATTATATATGATTCACTTCAAAATAAATTAATTTCTGTTTTACTAATAACTATTGCTGCTTGTATTCCACTGATGTTGGAATAGAGGGAGGGTTGATTACTTCAAATTGTTTTGATCAGATGCTTTTAGGACACTGAAACTTTCCATTATCTGGCTGATAGTAAATGTAGGACTATCCCTATTTTCTGCACCCTTGCATTCATTTGATTATGCATTTGAATTAAGTTTAGAATTATTTGCTCTGAAACTAAACTGTGACAGATCATTTGGTACCATTTTTGGTTGATACAGTTTCTGCAAACACCTTAAAGCCATGACTATTACTTTTCCCTGTAGACTTTGAATCAGTTCATTTAGGTGTCAGGAGGGTTTCAGATTTTTCTGCTTGAAATGAGTTCTATGGGTTTTCCAAGAAGTTTTAAATGCTATCGAACAGTTTGATATATTTTATCTTTTCATATCATATCCTGCCTGTGATCGGTTTGGATTAACTTGGTAGCAGTTTCCTGCAGGATGTTCTTCCTTGAGAGTTACAGACGGCCAATTAGCTGTGAGCTGCATGCCTGGATTCAAGAGGTAGAGGTAACATAACTTGTGCAATATTTTCTGAAGATGTAGCTAATTGCTGTGTTAATGAAATTCAATGTGGCTAGGTGCATTGTAATTGGTATCATTTGTCTCATTGGAATCTATTGATACTTGTTGTTGGTTCCATGCAGGAACTATGTTTCAGAACTGTAACTAATCTTTGGCTCAAGATGCTTAAAACTTGTACACATAACTTATCATTATTGTTATTAGAAAAATGCTAGCCTTACTCAGTCCCCCTACTCACTTCTCTTACTCACCTTTGTAAATATAAAGCATAATACGGGTACCATAAGAGAAGTGAGTAGGGGAGTAAGGCTACTCTTGTTATTAATATTCTATCTCTAACTTTTTTTTTTTTTTTTTGTCTCTTGGCAATAAGTATGAGAAGCAGAACAAGTGGCAGACTTGTAGATGTTAGACAAAGGAATTAGAAGTTTTATTTACATGTTGGTTCAGGTTGAGAAAGAAAGAAGAAGAAATAGTTGTAAATGAGTTTGTTGGTTGTCTTAAATAAAATTAAAATTGGGCATATTCAGAGGTGGGAGGACGATAATGAATTAATGATGCCTATGCCATGTTGTGCTGAATGCCTTTAAGAAATTACTGGACTGGCTAAAGTTATTAACTTCCCTGCTAATCTAAATTCAATCGTCGCAGAATTTCTGTAAATATACCCAGGGAGAAAATTACTTATTAAGAAAAAAAGAGATGAAAAACATATCAACCATCACTCGGCAATCCTTTTTTTTCTTTTAAAATAACTTTACAATTAATCACTATGACGTGTCAAACTAGAAGAACTGTTCGGCATCTTCAATGGCACCATTTTTGAAGTAATTTGGTGAACACTATTTATTCACTCTAATTTGACGTGAAACTATCTATCCACTATAAGAACATAATTTATTTATTTGTATTTATGTTAATTTAATTATTATTTATAATAAATTTATTAATAATTACATGATTTAAAAATATAAAAATATAAAAACAAAATTTTATTTAATACAAATATTAAGTTTTAATAATTTAAAATAAATTAACATTAATTTAAAAATATTAAAATTAAAAGAAAATACAATATAAATTAGAATAATAATTTAGTATTTTGATAAATTAGTTTTGAATATTCTAATGCTTATTTGATTTAATAAATATTAAATTTTATTAAATTAGTATAATTTTTAGAGTTATTATTAATTAATAAAAATATTATTTTTAATTTTTAATTAATATATAATAAATTATTAATAAAATAAATTAATTATCTGAGAATTAATAAAAAAACATTTTTATTGATGTAATATTTGTTGCAGTAGGTTGGAAATGCAAATAATAAAAAAGCGAAAAAATTACACCGATCAGCTGTAAAAATTACCCATTTTAGTGATTGTGGTAGAAGATGGTCTTAGGAGAGAAGCGTAACCGGACAGAGTTCGCATTGGGGGAATGTCACAGTGTGAGGTTGCTCTCACCAATGTTCCACGTGTTGTTTAGTGATTGGTAAGAGTTGAAGGCTCGTCTTTTGAGACGATGAACACTGTAAAAACCGGTCATAAGCATTGTTGAGTAGTAATTAATAGTTGGACCTCATAAGTCATAAGCCTTCTCTACTTCTTCTGCTTTGGATTCTCTCTTCTCTGCTGCTACAAACATAAGCCATTTCTCTCTCTACTTTGTGATCAGCAGTGGCGTAGCTGGATATGTAATGTGAAGTTGTTATTTTCTTTTCTCCTTTGGGTGTTGTATTGTAAAACTCTGAAACTTATAATTGGTAGTAATATTGTTTATTTGCTTTTAAAATTTCAGATCCAAATTGTGGGAAATGGGAGAAGCATGCAAGGAATGCAGGAGTTGGGAAGATGAAATTTATTGGAGCCATTTCCAATGTATTCATTTCATTCAGTATCTCCATGCTGGTTTTGATCAGCAGCTTGTGAGTTTCAGTTAACCTTTCCATGTTATTATTATTTTATACATAACAACCATCTTAATTCTTTTCACGATTAATGTCACGTAACTTGCCTTCTCTGGTACTTGGAGAAAAAATATACATTTATTGCCATATGAGTTTGTCGAACAAAGTCTAAAAGGTTCTCTTTTCTTTTTGTGGAGTTTGAATGCATTTTTGGCCTTAATTTTATTATATTTCCTGTCTATCATGGAAACAGCTTGTGAGATGGTGGTCTTCGTATTTCTAGGCATTTTAGGTTTTACTTCAAATTGTTGGCTAACACAGTGTACACATTCTTTAATTTTCTTTATCTATTTAACTTAATTTTGAATGGTTTTGGAGATATTAACCTAGCTAGTTTAATTTCGAACAGTTTAATAGATTTTGCCTTGATTCGAATTCTATCTATAGGATAAGACAGACGTTAGTGTCTTTCATAACTAGAAGGTTTCCAATTGAAGTAAATCAGTATTCATGATATTTGAAGAACAAACAGATTGCTGATGAAAGTGGGACCTTTCCTTTTTCCTTTATGCTCTAGTATTGCATATCCTGCTTTTAGTGGCTGATACCAGTCCTCCAAATAGTCTTTTATTTGATTAATTCAAGCATTCTTGATGAGCCGTATTGATTATACAAAAATCTGATTGAGTTTACTTCTTGCTTTAAGAAAATATATTAGCAAAGGAACAAATTCACTGAAAGTTTGTGACTGCATTACCTGTCAAGACACTTGGAAATTTGCAAGAATCACTCCTTAATTTCATCGTTTTTTTCCATCTTGAATGGTTATGTGAACCTTTATCATCTATGGAATTGCAGACCATCCCTGAAAAGTTTTCTAGAAATCTGAAAAAGAAGCTACCAGAAACGGTGTCTCTTAAAGGGCCTAGTGGTGGTACACGGAGTATAGGAGTTACAGCAAATGATAATACCTTGAACTTTAGTCATGGTTGGCCAGAATTTGTCAAAATTCATTTTCTGAAAGAGAATGATATCTTGATCTTCAAGTACAATGGAGATTCTCATTTTGATGTTCTAATGTTTGATGGACAAAGCCAATGTGAGAAGGCAGCTTCATATTTTGTAAGAAAATGTGGGCATACAGACAATGTTAGTGGATGCCAAACCAAGAGAAAGCCTGGAGAAGATTCAGTGGAAGTAATTCCTACCTCCTCACATGGTGATGTTGAAGGTACTCCACCAAAGCAAGCAACTAATGATGACATCAACAAAACACCAGTGGGACAGCCAATTGTCTCTCAAACTTCTAACAAAAGAATTCGGAGGGGAAATAGTTCTGTTAAGCCCATTCATACCAGGCGAAGTTTAAGAAGCAAGGCACTATTTACCAATCATGCTAAGAAACTAATGGGCAAATCCGGTACTCCCCTTCACCTTTTCTTCTTATTCTTTCTTCGCAGCACATGTAATGTTTCATAATCATCATTGAACAAATCTCATCATACACTTTTTAAGTCATTCTAATTTGCTGTACATTGACATTCAACTGCTGTGTGAATGGACACCATTATATCATTTGAGTGTCTCTTGAGAAAACATAGTATCTTGTTGATTAATTTGCTTGTTTATTTATTTTATTTGAGCAGCAAGTAGGTCAAATGCTGAGGTTACATCCTTCAACGGAAACTTGGCATCAGGCCAAAATTTCTTATCAAGTAGGAGGCCCGTGTCTGGAGATGAGAAAATGAATGCCTTGCAGTTGGCAAAAGCAGCATTAACCACTGATAGCTTCTTAGTAGTCATGAAACCCACGCATGTGTACAAAAGATTTTTTATGGTAAATATTTCGTTCCAGGCATCCATAATTTTTTTAATCTTATTACACCTTATTTTATGTTTTTTGTTTCTTTTCTGGTTTCTTCAACAAGTTCCTTTTAAGAATCAGAAGACTTTAGTATGGAAATGTTGATCTTACGTTTTGAATTCTGGTTATGCTTTGTTCAGGCTATTCCTGCAGGGTGGATGACAAAACATCTCACTTTGGAGAATCAAGATGTGATTCTGCGTGTGAATGAGAAAACATGGCAAGTTAAATTTCAATTCTGGAAGCCTCGTTGTTGTGGAGGGCTTTCTGGTGGCTGGAAGAATTTTGCTGCAGATAACAACTTGGACGAATTTGATGTGTGTGTGTTCCAACCAGCTAACCTGGTAATCAAACCCATTGTTCTCAATGTTGTAATCTTTCGAGTTGTGAATGAAGTGATTCCACTGACCCAAGTAACCCCTGCCTACTTGACGTGTTGAAATCTGCTCAACATAATGGAAGAAAAGTGCTCATGTAACTAGTCTCTGGCACCAGCTTGCAGTTTCCACTGTTGTTTTTGGTGTTCCCTTTTGGTGTTAGCTGGGTTTCAAATATTGTACAGTTTGCCAACTTTTGGACTGCACTTGTAAATATTGTGTATTTGGCAGACTAACTTAAGTTACATAACATCTTGTTCTGCTACATCTTTTTATTATCTCCATGTCCCTCACATTCAGTCACAGTGTCATTCCAATCCCAGGGAAGATCCAAATTTTTTAACAAAAAATGAAACAGAGGATCAGATAGTGGGTGGACTAGCATGAAGATAGATATCATACTTTGACACTTTCTCAATTTAACCAAGTACAAGGTTCAAGAGTATTTTAGGTCTCACGATTATCCTAAATTTCTTAATTTACGTAGTGTGGGTATTTAATAAACAGTAAGATAAAATTATTGAAAGACAATTACCTTAAAACAAGGAAAAAATATTATGGAAAGAATCAATTTTTTTCACTAAAAAATAATTACCCAAAAGATTAAAATCTTTAAGATCGATAAACCTTGAACTTTTTCTTATAAATGGGATGTAATAGCTCACCATTGGTGATATGAGATACATTATTGGACAAATAAAAACCATTACTAAGTTGACCAATTGAAAGCTACCGAGAAAATTAACTAGAGAGGTTTTATGACCCTTCCAGCAAAACATGCGAGATGGCAGCTGATCGTTTTTATATTAACTACGAATTCCAAGGCTTACAAATAATCAAACAAAAAAAAAAACTATGCTTAAGATTAAGCACGAGTAAGACAGATGCGTATAGCCCTCTTTAAAAGCCTGAACCAGTTCGCCTCAAGTTTCCTACTTCCATCATCTTGGCTTCCCCCGTTTAGTGTTTGTTGGTATAAAGTTAAAACAGAAAGAGGGCTTTAGCGAATGACATTGAAAGAACAGCGTGTTCTTGGCAAGATCCGATCGGAAATAGCCATAGAAGAATTCGAGTAAGGGCGTAAATTAGGGGTTTATGGGCAAGTACGCGAGATGTAAGCAATAGATTTGTCAACGAAGTCCTTCTTGCCGGGAATGACTGACCGAAGAAAAGTAACTGGCTTGCTTCGCTTGACTGCTATCCTTGGCCTGAGACCGTTGGGAACTTCTTCCCACTTTTTTATTTTATTTCATTTCCCATTTAGGGACATAAAAAAAAGTCTTGTGGTGGAAGAAAAAGGTAACTGCTTTATCGTTTCCTGGGTGTTTATAGTTTATGATCTTCCTTGTGTTTAGAATTTTTCTACTTGTCACATTCTTTTTACGTTCGTGTTCTCTACTTAGTACATTATTTGTTGGTTGAAAAACCCTCATGTGATCTGTTAGAAACTAGTAAGTAGTAAGGCAAGTTTTTTTTTAATTTTTTTTTATTTTTCAAGAATAAAAATAGTATTATTTGGCAAGTATTTGACCTATTTGTCTAGACGGATAATGATTTGGATGAGGTTCGATAGAGTGTAATAATTATTAAATTGGCCTAAAAAATTAGTAGTTCACTCACAGGGTCATCTTCGTTCCACTAATTTTTATTGTGTTGATAGTTTCTCCCACTTTCGAATGTTAGATTTGGTTGTTTTAAAATTGAATTTTATATATATTGTTGGTGAAAAATAAAATAAAATAATAATTTTATTTTAAAAAGATACAATAATGAATAATGAAAATGATACAAAAACTAAAAGACTAGGCGTGAATATCTCGCTTTCTTAAAAGAGATTTGAGCCATTTATGATTAGCAAAACTTAAAAAAAACCAGTGTAATAGATAAACACTTTTGACCCGTCCCCTCCAAGATACAACAGCCCAACAGTCTCGTTGTTTAGTTGACAATAACTCTACACAAATTACTCAACTCAAGCTCTTCCAAAGGAACACTTTTCTTTCGATAGAATGGATGAAGATAGGAAAACAACATATGTGTGATAGAATGAATATCATAGACATTTATATACAACTCTTCACATACTCTATCTTTTCATAGTCATAACTCATCCTTTAATTCAATTAAAATCATCATAACCACCTCCAATTCAATGACTTAACTCCCATTATCTTTAATCTTCCAACCTTTCATCTTTCATTTTCCGGCCTTCAATGAATAATAAATATAAGAAAAAAGAAAAAATCGAAGTTACAACATATATATTTTTTTCTGTTGTTGAATTCATTTTGGAAGTATATATTATTTTATTTCTCCTAGAAGGCTGTTGTGTTAATCGTGTGATTGGAGGTAATCTTTTATTATGTAGCGTATACCACCTGCTTTCGTTAAGAACTTTATGGGGAATTCAGTCGGAAATTGCATTATCTGAAGTCCAACAGGGAAATTTTGGGATGTAAATTTGGAGAAGAATGTGAATGGCACGTGTTTTGCTGGGAGTGGCTGGTTGGAGTTCGTGAAAGCTTATTCTTTAGAACTAGGTGACTTTCTGGTTTTCAAGTACTATGGAAAATCAATGTTTGGTGTTAAAATCTATGATAAAACCAACTGCGAGAGAGATATAGGGCCTGCCAAGATGAACAATGATAATCCCAATTTTTGCTCAGAGAATGGAAATCAAAATCAAGCAATAGTTAGAATCCAAGACTCCAAACCTGTGATTTTCAAAGCTGGTAATGAAAGAAAACCAGTTAACTCTGTCCAAGGTAAGAAATATCAAACTTTACCTTCTCATAGTCAAAATTAAGTTTGCTGTAAGTTATTTCTTCCAAGCTCATTTCTGGGAACAAACTTGTCTTTCAAGTGGACAGGCAAACAACAAGATCAACACTTCCATTCAGATAAGAGAATTATTGTTTCAGATTAACTTGGACGGAGTCTTACAAATATATTATGGTGAGCTTTTTTTTTTTTTTCTAAAGTAAATAAGTAAATGGAAGCAGAAAGATGCATAACACTTTTATGTATTTGTTGTTTCCTCATTGGAAACTAAAATCAGGGTTAAGATTGGCAAGTAGTAATAATGGCAAATATTTCCTTCTGCAGTAAAAAGATATCACTTCACCTACTACTTTAATTTGCCAATGACTATATATGAGCTGTCGGAATTGTCGACTATTTCAGCATTAATGGGTCACACAGACACATTCGGGGTGTTGGAGTTGTCGACTACTTCAGTATTATTGGGTTACGCAAATGCATTCGTGGGGTCTCGCTGCCTGGTTAGTGGGCGGGGCAGCACCCCCGGGCCCATAGGCGGTTTGGGCCTTTTTTCCATGTATAATCACTATAGGATTCATTTAAGTCATTAATTCTTTCTTAGGTTGGGCTTAGGAATAAGAATCCTTGTAAACTAGGTTTTGTCACTTAAACCTAGTATATAAACATATTTTTCTCTTGTTATGAGTGTGATAACAAATCATAGGGCAATTCATTCATTGTAAACGAGAGAGAGAGAGAGAGAGGTGAGGAAATATTATAATAATATTAACTTGGCTGGACGTAGCCCACATTGGGTGAACTAGGGTAAATCGCGCGTGTTATTTTCTTTGTGTTTATTATCTGTGATTTGCTTTATTGTTGTTTTGTTCTCGCTGCTATCTCTATTTCGTTCAATTGCTATCAGAGCTTTCAGGTTTTGTTAGATTGTGATTTAAGAGATGGTGGGATCAAAGGTTGAGATTGAGAAGTTCGACAGCAAAAACTTCGAGCTTTGGAAACTGCAGATGGAGGATCTGCTCGTTGATAGGGATCTGTGGGGTGAAATTGTGAATGATAGGTCGACAGTCGGGACAGTCACTATTACGACGAGTGAAACGTGTGGAACTGTAGTGTCAAGTATGCCTAGGTCTATTACTGCAACGGCATCTAGAGGAGAATTATCAATGACTGATCGTGCCGCACTTGCTGAATGGGACAAGATGGATCGAGAAGCCAGAGGTTTGATTCGCATCTGTCTTGAGGACTCCGTTCTAACGAATGTGATGGATCAGGATACAGCTAAGGGTTTATGGCAGAAGCTGGAAAATATGTATCTGAGTAAGTCTTTGGTGAATGTGCTGTTCCATCGCAAGAAACTCTACAATCTCTGTATGCATGATGGGGATTCTCTTGCTACACATCTGGATGAGTTTAATGCTCTGGTTAATCAACTGTTGGTTGTGGATGTACAAATCACTAAATCTGAGAAAGTGGTAACATTGTTATGCTCACTATGATTTTCAAAGCTGGTAATGAAAGAAAACCAGTTAACTCTGTCTAAGGTAAGAGATATCAAACTTTACCTTCTCATAGTCAAAATTAAGTTTGCTGTAAGTTATTTCTTCCAAGCTCATTTATGGGAACAAACTTGTCTTTCAAGTGGACAGGCAAACAACAAGATCAACACTTCCATTCAGATCAGAGAATTACTGTTTCAGATTAACTTGGACGAAGTCTTACAAATATATTATGGTGAGCTTCATTTTTTTTTTTTTTCTAAAGTAAATAAGTAAATGGAAGCAGAAAGATGCATAACACTTTTACGTATTTGTTGTTTCCTCATTGTAAACTAAAATCAGGGTTAAGATTGGCAAGTAGTAATAATGGCAAATATTTCCTTCTGCAGTTAAAAGATATCGCTTCATCTACTACTTTAATTTGCCAATGACTATATATGAGCTGTTGGAGTTGTCGAATGCTTCAGCATTAATAGGTCACACAGACACATTCGAGGTCTCGTTTTCTGGTGAGCGGGCAAGGGTCCCGCTCCCCAGTGAGCGGGCTGGGGCTGTGGGGGTAGCACCCCCGAGCCTGTAGGCGGTTTGGGCCTTTTCCAAATATAATTACTCTAGGATTTCTTTAAGTCATTAATTGCTTATTGGGTTTGGACTTAGGAATAGGAATTCTTGTAAAACTAGGTTTTGTCACTTTAAACCTAGTATATAAATATATTTTTTTTCTTTTGTTAAGAGTGTGATAGCAATCATAGGGCAATTCATTCACTGTAAACGAGAGAGGTGAAGAAGTATTATAATAATATTGATTCTGGACGTAGCCCATATTGGGTGAACAAAGGTAAATCGCGTGTGTTATTTTCTCTTTGTTTAATATCTGTGATTTGTTTCATTGTTATTTTGTTCTCGTAGGTGTTTCTATTTTGTTTATGAGCTGCTGACCATGTTTAATGTCTTCTAAAATATTGATGCAAGTTTATCTCATTTTTTTGC